TAGAGAAATCTAGGGGATAACCAAAAAGTTTTTGGAAGGGAGAAGTGTTGTCTAGAACAAAGGATGGAAGAAAATTGATCAAATACACGGCTGTACTGGCTGCTTCTACCCAAAACAAAGTTGGAGTATGAGACTCCTATAGTAATGTCCGCACAACACTAAGAATATGTTAGTTCTTCCGTTCAGCTACACCATTCTGTTGTGGAGTGTCTAGGCAGTTGCGCTGAGACTAAATTCCATAACTCCTCAAGTATTCCAGGAAGTCTCAATCTCTATATTCTCCCCCTCAATTTGAGCAGAGAGTCACATTGCACTTGAATCGATTTTGCACCATAGTATGAAACAATTTAAATGCACCAAAGACTTCTGATTTGTGTCATAGAAAATAAATCCAAGTATATCTGGTACAATCATCTATAAATAATACGAAATATTTGTACCCCAATCGTGAAGTAATAGAAGCAGACCAAACATCACTATGTATTATCTCAAAAGGTTTAGTGGCATGTTCAGATGTATGAAAGAAATGGTAAAACATGACTTTTACTCAAACAACACGTAGTGCAAGAAACATCAAAAGTATCAATAATTTTATTCTTAATCAAACCAGAGTCAAACAAAAATTTTAATTTTTGGGAATATGGATGACCCAATCGTTTAAAGCATAAATCCCAAACATTATTTCTATAACTCAACAAAGAATCAAACAAAGAAGAACTAAGTAAAGCTGAGGATGCCCCCGATTGAGATTTCTCGAACTCCAGTGCAAATAGAGGCCCAGCCTACACCCCTTCCCTTTCACCTTCCTAGTGTACCGGTCTTGTATCAAGCAACCATCATGAGAAAAGGTGAGAACATTTCCTTCATCAACAAGTTGGCTAATAGAAATCAGATTAGTAGTAAGGTTGGGTACTAAGAGGGTTTTGGAGAGAGGAAAGGATCTGGTTAGTGACAGTCGAAGGGACAGATCTTTACTACCAATGATGTCTAACTTTTCACCATTAGAAGTGATAATATGTTTATGGTGAGTTTTAGTGGAAGGGATTGGGTGGTTGAGATAGGCCCTGTCATATGGTTGGTGGCACCTGAATCTATAATCCAAGCATGTGAAAGGGAAGAACAATATGCAGAGAACTTACTAGACAAGCCAATAGTAGAGAAAGCAGAGGAAATAGCAAAAGATACCAGTTGCCGAACCCTTTCTTCATCCATGACACCTGTTAATTCACCTTTCAGTAAAGACTCACCCTTGGTAGATACAGTGTCTGTTGCTGGTCCATCTATAGCCTAATAGGCCCGGGGCTGAGTCTTTTTTTGAGAGCCCTTAGTTGGTCGAACAGGATAGTCTGGATAGATCAAAACAATCCAGGACCACTCGGGAGAGCTGTAGGTTTTCAATAGATCACAAAGGCAAGATGGATCAGAGAGAAGGAAGGTCAAAGAGCAACTTACTCTGATACCATATGAACTGGATTCAGATCTAGAACAAAACAGATCTAGGGGTGTCAAAAATAGTCAACCCCCACCCCAAAGAGCCTCTTTTATATTAAAGAGATAAAAAGTATGTACAGTTACAAGAATGCCCTTACAGGGCTGAAAGATAAAAAGAACAAATAAAATAATAAGAACTATGATACTGTACAACAAAGACTTCTCTGATAAAGTACATCAAGATATATCTTCACACATGGCACATGCCCTTACACTAGTATTGCTAAAACCATCTTCATCCAAAATGAACCATGTTCCATAATACAACTTCCTCCAACCCACTAAGATCTACAGCCATGAGAGGATTGCAGCATGAACCAAGGAACAAGATATGTCATTAAGAGCAGAATAAACTCCAAGAAGGCAGGCATCACTTGACAAGAAAAGAAAGATGGGACTCAATTCCTAAATAGATTTATACACGAAGACCAGTTCAGATGGTCAACCATGAGCACCTTGTAACGCCACTTCTCCAAATGCAATCAGCCTCAACCAATTCAACCAGCATAGACAGAGGCGAAAGCACATAAGAGGACCTCAACAAGGACATACCTTTAAAATCCTACTTCTGAACAAAGCAATTGCTTTTTCTAAAAGTACAAAAAGAATATTACCATACATTTAAGAAGTCCTCTGTTGCTAAAATATTTGGAGGATTCTCAACCTATTATTAGTAATTCGGATGCTCATTGTTAGACAGTTTTGTATGCCCTTAGCTTCAATCAGAATGATGTATTTTATGAGTTTATTGTAAATGAATAAAAATGCATATTTGATTCATGTTCCCTTGGTATGTTTCTGTGTAATACCCTTAAACTGGACATTTAATGAGACTCGTGTTAGTTTA